CACACCGCACACACCTACCTCCTCCTCCCTCTCACTGTGGCCTTTTCTCTGCCAGTCCTCTGGACCTGGCCTCAAGGTGTGCAATTGTCCATCAACTCCTCCTGGGGCTCTAAGGCTGCTGTCAGGGTTCAGCTGCAATTAGGCGGCAGGGCAGCCAGGGCCCACACCGACATCACTGGACATACTGTGTTTGGTTGGGTCAGGTGGCAAGTGTGTGGGGGCCGTTTACAAAGCATCAATTCCTATTTGTACTAGCTCATCGCACACCGTGCGCAATCTTAAACTGCCTGTTGAGGAAAGGTTTATGAAATGCAACCCTATCTGCCTCTCCTCAGAAGTTAAAGACATTGTTTCCCTTTCCTTATTCCTTATTTATTTCCCATTCCTATTCCTTATCTGCAAACAGAAAAGTCATTTCTGCCCTGGTGGTGCAGAGGTTAAGAGCTATGGCTGCTAACCAAAAGGTAGGCAGTTCGAATCCACCAGCTGCTCATTGGAAGCCCTATGGGGCAGTTGTACTCTGTCCTATAGGGTGGCTATGAGTCAGAATCAACTCAATGGCAGCAGATTTGTTTTTTGTTTTTTTTTGGGGGGGAGGGTGGTTTATAATAAACTTAACTTCAGGGAGCGTGAATGGTGAGAGAATGCCATTCCGCCTAGAACTTAAGTCCGTTTCCTGACATTAATTTTGCCTTAGAACAATTCATCTTCCTCTGCAAAACATCTGACCCACGGACCTGGCTAATCCAAGAGGCAAATCGAGTTCTGAAGACCCCACATTAGAAGAAGTACTTGAGCCTCCTAACTCAGAGAAGGAGTTTTGGTTGTTAAGTAAGGAGCTGAGATTTCAGAGTGTTCCCTTCCAGTGATAGCTTCCACAATCACAACATCCTCTCCATCAGAGCTCCTCCAGTCATTGCCTCCCTTCCAATCACAGAAAGCCCTCACTGCAGCCATAGGCCACCCTGACACACAGGTACAAGCTACTCAATGCTCTGGGAGTTGCAGAAACTGAGACTCTCAGCTCTACGGCCTGGTAGACCCTGAGACTAAAATGGAAAATGGAAAGGAGAACTCCTATTCCATCGATGTGACCCATTTCAAAAATACTTCTATCCAGGATTGGTCTTTCAATCTATGATTACAGCATATACTACTGAGTGATGGCATTGGACACCATGACAAAATAGAGAGAATAGATGGCTTCCCTATGAGGAGGTGAACTTCTGTAAACATGAAGGCCATTGGGAACTTGTACTCTATGTGGTAAATGTATGCAATGAAATAGATATAGGTCTCTAGATAGTTTAGCCCAAATGAGACCGTTTGTCCAGCGATCCCTGAGGATATATTTTGCCTTAGTGAATGCACAAAGTACAATCCTGAGACCACCAACTCCAAGAGTCTTAGTTCACAAGAACATGGTAGACCACATCAGTCTCAATTTGTTTAAAATAATAAAACAAAATAAAATTGATAATTGTGATATAGTGGTATGGTTATGACAGAGGTATAATGGCTAATCCCGTTTCAGCCATGGAGTTAGGACGAGTCAACCAAAGTCTCATAGCCCTAGGACACAAAGCTGAGATTTGAGCCCAGGTAAATCTTGTCCCAGTCGGTGTGCTCAACCACCAACCCATACTAATGAGAACACGTGTCTGCTGTGTGTCTGGCATGTACCAGGCATGGTTACATTACATGTATGCTGTTGTTGTTAGACTCTGATTCATGGCAACCTCACGCAAAACAGAATGAACTGTTGCCCGGTCCTGCACCGTCCACAGGATCGTTGATATGATCGAGTCAGTTATTGCAGCCACTATGTATTTAAGTGCCTTCCAACCTAGGGGGCTCACCTTCCAGCATTATGTAGGAAGAAACTCTGTTGTGATCCATAGGGCTTTCATTGGGTAGATCATCAGGGCTTTCCTCCTACTCTGTCTTAGTCTGAAAGCACCACTGAAAACCTGTCCACTGTGGGTGACCCTGCTGGTATTTGAAATACTGGTGGCATACTTTCCAGCATCATAGAAATATGCAAGCCACTACAGCAGGACAAACTGACAAAGTGATGGATGGGTGGTGGTGCATGTGTCTATCAGACATTGAACTAGGGTCCGGTCCGTTTTTACTTTTTAAATTTTGAAATTTTGTAGCCTAGGAATTCAATCCTGTTTACTGAAACACAGCTGGGTAAGATGGGGGATCTCAGACAAATCTCTAGAACCCAAAATTTACCTGATGTATTTCCATCTCTGATTTTTAAATTTATATTATCTTCTGCCTGAGGTACTCTTCGCACTGTCTTAGATCTAGTCTCTATCCCACCTTCAGGTATATCATGGCTCCCAACATCTCCCTAGAACTTTTTAAAACTGTCATGGAACATGGCAATCTATCATGTCTTTGCATTCTGATAAAATTAATTATATGCACCAACCATTTACAATTCAATTAACACTTAAAGCAATATATAGGTTTTCTTATATTTCCTGTATCTTATGTGTTTCTTTATAACCCTTATTAATTTGTAATCTCATATGTGATTAAAAATACAAAACAGATTATAAGTTAGATTGTCTGAGTCCCTCACTGTATTTAGCATAGGACAGTGTTTCAGAGGTTGGTCTGAGAGACAAATGCTTAGATTTGAATCCTGGCTCCATTGTTCACCAACTGTGTGACAGTAGACAAGTTTCTCTGAGCCTCAATGTCCTCATCTATAAAATGGGGGTGCTAATATTACCACTTTATTGATTGTAAGGATGTCATGAGAAAAAATGTGTGCAAAATACTGAATATCATAGTAAATACTCATTAATATCAACAATAATTATTAACTTAGTATCATTGTCACATACAAGGATGCTTAATAAATGCTGGTGAATCAATCAATGGGTTTATTGCAGTTTAGGGTGAGGGCATTTACAAACGTCCTGCTTCTCTAGGTTAGGACTGAAGATTGATCATGGCTCATGGCCTTGATTGGCATTCTGGAGACAAATGAAATGGTGGTACAAGGAAGCCATCCTTCCCTCTGTGCAGTACTGTTATCACTACTGTCCCAGTGATTCCAAAGCACTTAATTACACATGTCACTATGCTGAGCACTGCACAAAAGACTATTATATAGATAAAATTCTTGTCCATTGGGAGCTCACAATATCAAGGATGTTTTGATGGACATTTGAATTAGACCTTAATAGGAGGAAAAGAAAAAAACAGTTAATATAAAACACCTTTAAAATTGAAAGGGACTTTAGAAACTGTTCCAACTCTCTAATTTTACGGATAGGAAGGCCGAGATTCACAGAGGTGAAATGACTGCATGGTCCCTCAGTTAATGTGGCGTTGAAGCTAGGAGCCAGGTGTCCAGACGCCAGCGCTCCTTCCTCTCGGGGCACTGCATAGCACATCTCCCGGGGCACCCTTCTCATCCACACACAACGCATTGTGGATGGTGTCTCCTTCCGTTGCTGTCGAGTCAACTCTGACTCATAGCGACCCTATAGGACAGAGTAGAACTGCCCCATGGGGTTTCCGAGGAGCTGCTGGTGGATTCGTAGACCTGGGCGACATGGCAACACTGTTTCCGTTTCTCCCGTAGGACCATAAAGGTAAAAAGCCACTAAGTACTATGTTCTGTGCAGTTTGAGAATATCTGCATTAAAATTATAATGGGAGTCAGAGGGAAGTATAATAATTAGCTGTGGAGGTCTGGAAGAATATTTCAAAAACGTGAATTTGTCAGAATCGGGTAGGGAATGGTCTGTAAAGAACTATGTTTTTCAATATTTTCATACAATTTGCTTTCCTTAAGAGGAAGCCAAAAAATGGAATCAGCAACTTCCAGGGCCACACAGTTAAAAGAGCTCCCAAGAAGTCATTCTCTTCATTTGATTATTTCTGTCTGAGTTTTATTCTCACCCAGCCCCAAGGAGATGCATGAGTACAACTCTCTGAGGTTTTACAATCAGACACAAAGTCTAACACTCAGACAGTCCTTCAGCATATCTGGCTGCAGTCCGACTTGCTGCAGTTTCAATCCACAGGTACTTATATTGCTCTTATCAGTGGATGACGATTGACTGAGGCATACAGAATAAACTCATGCCTTGTTCTCTGTTGGAGAAAGTCACCCGTATTCAGACCACAATCCTTCTTCTCAAATCCCAGACGCCACATCCCTGTTTGTGGTGTCATATACACATGAATGACTTTAGGGAATAAATAAAATGAACGAAAAATAAGAGTAATGCGGGCGTGTCTGAAATAGGAATGACAGGAAAGATAATAGAAAGTTATTTATTATGTTCAAAGCAAATCAGTGGGAGGGTTGATGGGGAAAAGTGAAAGATGGGAAAGAAAAACCTGTCATTGAATGATATTCCATCGGAGAGGAAACAGGCACCACCGAATGAAATTTGACTCATCCTTTGCAAGTTTCACTGAGCATTAAAATGCCCCTTTAAAGTGTCCTGTAAGCAGCTGCTGGCAATGGGATTTGTTCAGTGCAAAGGGAATTTGAGCTCAGGAGGCCAGGGAATGCCGGAGGGACGGGTTTTTTTTTTTTTTTTTTTTATGCTTGGGGCTCGGAGACTGTTGGTTTAAAAAACGAAAGTAATATAGAAGGGGAAAAGTGGCATTTATCATTCCATCTCTCCAGGCTCCTGTCTCTTTAATCAGCTAGCCAGATTTGCCCAGTAAATGATTCTTGTGCGTGTGTGCGTGTGTGTGTGTGTGTGTGTGTGTGTGTGTGTGTGTGCCGCGCGTGTGTTGTAGCTCTGTCAATCCTTGGATTAGAACCAATGATTGCAGCTTGTAGGAGGGCTGTCCAGGGCCAGATTGTACAATGTGTCTCAGTGCCAGAGTATGAGTGGAGATAATTACTGAGAAGTCACACTCTCACACCCTCGGCTTTCTTGTGGTGTCCTTCAGCAAAACAGTGGATTTAAACCTCCTTCCCTGAGCTGGAGGGCAACGCAATCTGTCAGGAGAGAAAGAAAGGAAAAACCGACCCTGACAAAAAAGAAGAAAAAGAAAAAAAATCATGAAAACCACCCAGGCAAAAATGCACAATTCTATCTCTTGGGCAATCTTCGCGGGGCTGGCTGCTCTGTTCCTCTTTCAAGGTAAGAGCTTGCTATTCATTTGCCTACAGTAGACCCAGGCATTGTACGATGTGCTTAATATGATTCGCAGGCTCCCCAAGTCTGCTCGGCTGCGCGGTTTGCAGGTGGAGGAGAGAGCGTTGAAACAGCATGGCTGGGACTTCCTTCTCCCTACCAGGCTGTGAGAATATTGATTTGGTTCTGGCTGCTTCGGGAACGGAGGGATGTATATGCATAAGTAAAACGTGTCTGGCTCCGTTAGGTACGCGGCTGGGTGCGGGTTTCCCGGGCTGTATTACACATTCTTGCACACATACACAACAGGGCATGCATGTAAGCAGGGGAAATTACAGACTCAAAGGGCACTGAGGTTGCTAATGTGTTGCTTATGCTACTGGGAAGAAATTATAAGAGGAAACTTTAAATATCTGCCGGTAAACTTGCAAGGCTTCTAAAAAGAGCCGGCGGGAGAATGCAGGCTGGGGCTAATCAGGGAACAGCGCCTCTTGTGAGGTTCTGGTCTGTGATCCAGCCTGAAGGGACACTCCATCTGCAGCAGTGGTAGATGACTGTATGAGTTTTGAAGAGGTTTGGGGTACACTTGTGGGGGACAGGCAGATGAAAGGAATCGAGAGCATGAGCTCTGAAATTTTGAGAAGATTTTCCAAGTTGAGGGAGAGGCAGGAAGAGTCAAATGTTAATTTTCTTCTTCTTTATAAGCTGGGAAGCAGAGCCCTGGGGCTGCGGTTTGAGAACTGGGCTTCTTCTGGCCCAGTGCACATTTGATGTCTGCTGTGCTGGGTTTGGGGTGCGTTTGGCATCTGCTTTAGCTCCGAGTTCATTTGCTGCACTGTGTAGCCCCACTGCCTGTTCCAGCTCCTGTGTTCCAGTAGCAGGATTAGCCACTAGCCTGCTTGCTCCCACCCTCTGTCCTTTGAGGGGGGTCTTTCTTATGAAATATATCTGCACTCTTAGAGCTTAAGGCAAGCAGAGGAACTTTCCCAGGGGGTCCAGCAGCGCTCTCCCCTCGGGGCCAGTGCCCAAGGGAGACCCAGTCCTGCCCGGCTGTGTCCCCAGGGAAAGTTCACTCAGACAAGATGAAAGAGGTGCGGGCACTCAACCCACCTCACCCCCTTCTCCCCACTGCAATTCAGGATTTTTCTCCTCTCAATTAAGTCCTGAGCGCTAATCCTCTGACCTCTTTCTGAGGTAGGCTTTGGGGATGCCACTGTCCCCTGGATCCACACAAACTGGGCAGAGGGGCGCGGATTGGGAAGAATCAGATGTGTGCTGACCCCTGGCTGGGGCTCAGGGTGCAAGGCAAAAGGCAGCCAGAGGGCCTGAGTCAGAGGGCCCCTGGGGGATGGGCTTGGCAGGGGCACCCTTGGCTCTGTCTGCTGTGCCCAACCCTAGTGAGGCTCAGGGTCTCTCTCCTCCCCTTGGGCATTGCTGGTGTAAGAGTGACAGTGGCAGCATCCTTGGCTAATTCCTCTTACCTAACCTGGAGCTTAGCAGCAGCGTTTGTGTGTGTGTGTGCGTGCGTGTGTGTGCATGAGTGTACGTGTGCGTGTGTGTGTGCGCGCGCGCATGTCGATCACTGGCGCTTGTCCTAGGTGCATGAGGCTCTCAGTGAGCTCAGAGCCCTGACACTGGCAGTGGGGAAACTGAGTTCAGGCTCCTTGCGAGAAACAATTTCTATCATGCTGACGACAGAAATGAAAACTAACTAGGCAAGGTTTGGAGTGAGAGGTCAGAGGAAGGGAGAGGAAAGGCACCAAAGCCCTTAATGACCCCCATCTGTCCTGGGGTCTGTGCCTCTTCTATCTAGTGACATCAAACTCGAGACAGCAGCCAAACTTCCACTGTCAACAGCCCATTGGCCGCACGCCAGGAGCCCCAGGGCCATCCCAAATTTGCATATAAATTAGCATACATGACTTTTTTTTTATCAGAAATAAATGCAAGGAAGCATAATATTTGCTCAGACTTTGGCTCGTCCCTGAATAGACGAGTAGACAGTGGTGGTGCCCAGTTCTGCTGGGGGACTCTGATCTTGTGTCCTGTTCCTACCCTGGGGTGTGGATGATGGCTGTAGGGGTCTCTCCTTCCATTCTGCCAAATCCAGGATTTCCTAAGGAGAATAACGGCCTTATCTATGCTGCTCACTTCCAGTCTGCTCTGAATAGGCTTCCATGTGCCATAATAGAGCACAGGATGTCCAATTTTAAGGCAGAGTGACCCCCAAAAACCCCTGTACCACATCCCGGTCGGAAGCAGCAAAGGTGGTTATCTGTTTTCTCTTTCACGGGAAGGAAGCTGGAGTCCGCCAGCTATCTCTTATCAAACTTGGAGAAATACAGAGGCAGCCGAGGTCTTGCCTGCAATAATCCACCCCTATTGCATTGACCCAGTGGGACTAGTTAGAATGCAGTACACATTCCAAGGCAATTTTTTCTTCTCCTCTGTTTTTGTTTTAAGCTGGCTCTTTCTAGAGCTGCTACTTCTTGTGTTTCCTGCCTCTTGAAAACGTGTCTGTTGCTAGTGCCAGGTTATCGAGCCCTCCCTGACCTGCTCCTTCCCCCAGCCTAACCAGCAACCATGATCCAGCTTAGGGGAGGGAGTTTCCAGAACAACAGCACTGATTAGTGCGGCGGACAGGAGGGGGTGATTAGCTCCCCAGGGCTCTGGCCCTAAGATGCACCAGGGTTGATTAAGTTGGAGCTCCTCGTTCCTGGGGATGGGAGTGGGAAGCTGGATTAGGAGCTGTCCTTTCAGCACACCTCCCAACCTTCTACCACTGAGAGGCTCTCAAAGCCGCGGCTGGTATGCTGCTGCCTTTCTTTCTAGAAACCCGGCCACTTCTCCTTTGAAGGATCATTGTTCCTTGCAACACCTTCCGAGGAGCTTGGCTTGGTTCCTCTCTTCCCCTTCCAAATTTCTCCCATCTCCTCACACTCCACATCAGTGTATCTGCCCACTAGAGTTGTAAGCATGGGCCAAGTGGAAGGGGACTCAGCTAAGTTCACCCTCTCCTCTGCTCAGCGCCTAGGGTCTGGGTAGCACTCAGCTTGGCAGACCAGCCCGGCTCCTGCCTCTCACAGAAAATGTCTGGGTCCAGCCATTGCCTGAGCCGGGCAGGGCTCCTGAGCTGCCGGAGCCCAGTGAGACCATCACAGTGTTTACTAGCAAAGTGAAACATCGGGCTAGGGTGGAGGACCCTGGGCTGGCATGGGCATTTGTGGGTACTTGTTCATATGGCCAGAGTGACAGAGGAGCTTCCCAAAGTGGAGCTGGCCTAGCTGCCACGCTTGGAAATGCCACCGTGGGGTGAGTCACAGGGAGGTGAGAACAGCAGAGTGAATTCAGCTCACCTTCCTCCTTCCTACACTGGCCCTCTGAGCACTGGGTCATGGGCACCTGGACAGTCCCAGCAGTGACCAGCAAGCCTTGCTGCCTGAAAACCATTCTTGGGTTGCAGCCTTAGTCAAAGCTGGGCCTGGGGTGAGTCTTCCTTTTTGGTACATTTAAAGCCAAATATTAGCCCAAGAAGCCTGGACTTCTGTTGCTTCTCAATAAACTTCTCCTGTAGTGCTCGTGCTAAGGGGTGCTGAACTTGTCTTTAAAGGGAATCTCTTGTCCCCCTTGATGTCCTTGAGATCTCTTCATACCCTACGAAGTGGCAGAGTTTCTGAATCAATATGGAATGCATGATTTTGCCATGTGCAAGAAAGATGTGCAATGCTCGCAACTGCTGTCCACTCGTGGTGGAAACACAATTTGGATAGGACTCTCAGGTCTGGGACTTGGCTCTGATCCAAGCTTTTTTGGTTTGCAGCTCATGTCCTGCCTCTGCCTACCAACTAGAATGTTCCTTTGTATCTGGCCTCCGCAGAGGGCCTACAAACCCTTCAAAACCCTATACACGTGCCCTCTAGGGTTCAGGCAACTGCTCATGGGGAACAGATACATCTGAGCTCACACTCCCCTATGTTTTCTGTAGGGAAAAACATTTCCCTCTGTGAGCCTGCCTCCCCACCTGCCTGCCAGGCCAGGGAGCAACTCCCCTGGGTGTTGTAAGGACTCATTAATGCTTGTAACACTCCAAACATGTGGTGCTAAGTGGAACTCCATGCTGAGACTGGTTGTATTTATGCAGCTTCCTTCCTTCCTGCTCTGTTGGCTTGTTACATGTTTATTTTATGTCTACAGTCATTTGAAATTCAATAAAACAAATTAAACATAAAAACTGAGAACATGCAAAAATGTGGTGATAGGTGGCACCCAGGTTGGATGGGGGGGAGGGTGCCATTGGATTGGTCCTCCCCAATGTCTCTGGTGTCCTGGAGGTGGATGTCCCCATTCCAGGGACCACTGTGCCACTTTCCCCTGGTTCATACTTGGAAAATACGTTGAGAAGGGGTGGAAGAGCTTTAGAAGATACACGCAGGAAGCATGACTTTCCATTTGCCTATCAAAGAAGATTTCTGCATGGTAGAAATACTGGCAGGCAGAGAAAAGCACTGGGGGCAAACGCGGCCCAAAGGTAGGATTTTAGGGGAATAAGTGGCTCTAATTGACAAAGGGTGGAAGAATAAAGAAGACCCTATTCTCTGCTTTAACTATGATTGGTCAGTCGCCTCTGAGAGTCTTAAATTTTACTTTAAGTATTTATTTATGCAACCTTCTGAATTAAACCTGCTCTTGCTGTTTTGCTGCTTAAATTGACAAGATGTGTGTTTATCCAGTTTTCCTTTTTATTTTCTTTATTTCTCTGTCCTTCTTTCCTTTTTTCCCTCCCTACCCCTTCACTCCACCGTTCCACCATCTTTCCCCCTACTCTGCCCTCCCTTTCCTCTTTTCCTCTTTCCCTTCTTCTTTCTCCCTTTCGTTTTCTCTTCTCCTCTGTGGGGAAAATAATTGATCAGTTGACAGATCTAGGTCAAGCTGGCAGGGGCTGCTGTGCTTCATGCAGGCTTGCCTAGGAATGGGAGGGGAAGGCCTGTCTTCCCAGCACACAAGGA